GATTTCATCGGATGAAATTTCGCTGTGAAATCCGCAGTGGTCGCGATCTCCATTAAGCGACGTTAAAATATGAACGGTGTGATCGAACGGTTTCTCGTTGACCGAGGACAAACTTCGACAAATATCGCCGATTAATTTCCCAGCGTAATAAGATAGATTTCATCGGTGGAAGAGATTTAATTAATTCCCGAGCGTAATGAGACGAACCGGACGCGAGAGAGTTGTTTCGCCCGAGCGTGGCGGCGCGGACGATTATCGATAATTCGGTAATTCAACGAGCGACGGTCGCAGCCTCCACCACGTGGCGTTAAAATACCGTATAGCGTGATTGAACGTTTTCACGAGAGATTGAGTGCTCTCCGGTGCCGTTGAATTATTAGGCAAGCCGTGCGTCACCGGCGCGTCTCTCGCTCTCTCTCTCTCTCTCTCGTAATATCGTGTCACGGCTGAAGAGCTTATTCGAGCGTATTTCAATAATCTCCGATTCTTGAAAGGCTGTCAAGGCAATCCTTATCGCGAAATATATATAATTAGTTTTGTATCTGACAGCGGCGCCTACGAGACGAGCCGCGGCGCACCGACGACGCGTATATCTCCGTGGACTTACGTCCACGCGGGTCGCGTACTCGCTCACAATTTGTATGCGCGTACACAGGATGTCCCTGAACGACGGTCCTTTCTTTCAGTTACATGGATTCCCCCTTCCTCTCTTTTCTTCCTCTTCTTCACAGTCTCTCTCTCTCTCTCTCTCTCTCTCCCTCTTTCATCGGCAATCTGAAATCAATTTTTCCCTCGTCGAAGCCGTCGAACCGGCGATTTCCGCCTAACTCGGATCGATTGTTCCTCGTTGAGCTTCATGCGACGAACTCACCTGTTTACCACACGGCAATTCCGGTCCGAAGGTTAGCTCCGAGAGTCGTCCAACGTCGACGTTGAGAAATCGCGAGGGACTGACGTCCAATTAAGCCCGGCGGTAATCAGCGCAAGCAGTTTCGACGTAACGCACGGCGACCTATTTGTGTTTGCGCGCGATTTGTCGCGTAACGCCGATAGCGAAATCGCGAGGATCCTTCCTCGCCGATAACGTAATGTCGGAGGTAATCGTGAAAGGCGACCTGAGACGATGTCATTATCGACGATAAAAGCGGGCATCGGAGTATGCACGATTGCGAGAGGGTCTCGCCGCTCGCGGTTCAACGAAGTGCGCGGAATACGTGTGTACGTCGTTTACGTAACGAGGCACGGCGTGCAGCGAGATACTGCAAACTAATCGCGCGAGCGAGTAAACATAATCGTTCGTAGACGAATCGCGCGTATTATCACAGCGCACGTCTGCGTGTGTGTGCGCGCGCAAACACGAGACTGAATAAATCTCCGGGTTTTAGCGAGCGAGAGAACCGGCCGGGTTTCGCGCGTTAACCTTACGGGAGGATGAAAATTTCGGACTCGAGGACTCGAGTCGGCCGACATTTTCGGCGCTCGAGTCGCCACTCGAGGCGGCCGCTAATTTGTCAATATTGGTCAGAAGTTACTTTAGCCCCGCTTATCGATGTACACATACAGCTGGAATACGCTCCGAAGGCGGGGAGACGTTAACCTCGAGCCTAACGTCCCGATAATGTCGCGATAAAGAAAAGAAATGGACGTTGACGTAACCTGGCGAAGGTGACGTCATTATCAACGTGTAGCCTTTGACCCCCGTGCACGCTCGTTTCCGCTCGTTCAACCACTCATTTCGTGTTGTTGGGATGCGGTCGCAGTGTAGTCGCGCACGTGTGTTATCGGCGGTCGTCCCTCGAATCTTTCTCTCTCGCGTCGTTTCGGTAAACAAATATCAGCTGATACACAAACGGGGGCACAGTTAATGGGAAGTTTAGAAAGCGGAAATCGCGGTGATTAATACGCCGCTCTTATGGGAAAAATAGGAGACGCGCTGAACGAAGCGTATTTTTCTCGCGTAACAACACCGGCGCCGGTGGCCCGCGCGCTATGATTCAGCGAGGTTGGAAAAAGGCGTCGCGATTTATCGCGATAGATATTTGCGAGCGCCTCCGAATAGAAATTTTGAGGCTCAGTGTAACGCGTCTCGCGCGAGTGTTGACTCATGTTTCCAGTAATACCCCTTGGACCGCGAGTTCTATCTTAAATCTACCGATGTCTTCTTTTCGCTTCTGTTTAACTTTCTTCTCGTGCCGGATCCAAATTTAAATTTCTCTTGCAATTCTATTTCTATTTCTATTGAGCAGAACTGCTATTTTACTCTCCCAACTTCTTGAGTTCCAGAGTGGCAGTATTTTTATCCGTTTGAATATTTTACTCTCGTTTGTAGAGAACGGGCCTTGCAATATCACTTCCTTCGCATTCCTTTCCTTCTTCCTTCTCGAATCAAATCAAATTCTACATTGAGAAAAATGTCCAACCGTATCCGGTCGGATAATTCAATGAAAAAGCAACAAACGGATACGTCCGATCGGCTGCAATATACGATTATTTCATGATTTCATCTGATCAAGTCGCGCCTTCATCCGATGAAAATTATAACGGACGTACAAAAGTCGACTAATTTTCCGACCAAGGTAACTTCGTCGAATATTTTTCACCGGATAAAGGTATCCATCACTTGATCGCAAAATAATATAAATAACAATCGGATGTGTCATTTAATCGGTTTATCCGATGAAACTTTTTTTTCAGCGTATCAAAATTTCCCAACTTCGCTAAAGAAAACGAAAATAAATTACAAAAGGGAAGGTTTGTTGTTCTATGTGTACTCGTTTACCCGAGTATTTCAGTAAATTAAACATCTGGTCGTATATAAGAAAGGTAAAAGATACGAGAACCATGCTCCATAAACGATGTGATCCTCCTGCACGCGATAATCCACGTATACATCTCTCTCTCTCTCTCTCTCTCTCTTTCGATTCTTAACCATAATTGAAACTTTTCGCGGTGATGTCGCGTGACGCGAAAACTCGCGCGGCGATCGCGCGTCGTTAAACGCCGTTTCGTACTAACTACTCGCACCTGCTAGCGCATAACGCGCTACCGCGGACGCCCGCAAAAACGGTTTATGCGGTGGCCGGCGGGAAAAAGTGGAGATACTCGCGCGTTACGGCGCGAGATCACATTAACACGGCGACGGCCGCGGCGACGGTCGTAAAGCAGTACGTACGCGCGAGTAATTAGCGCGAGCGGCCGCGACGCGCGCGTTCTAAGGCGATACACCACGTAGACGACTATTAATTGCCGGTATGAATGAGCGCGAGGCGAGGCGAGACGGTTAAAAGAGCCCGGATCAATTCGGCGAATCAGCTCTCGAGTACTCGAGAGCGAAAGAGCGAGAGAGAGATAGAGAGAGATGCCTCGGTACTCGCTTCGTCAAGATTAAGGCCGCCGTCGTCGTACCGGCTGGCGGCAAAGCGAACTGCCGCTACAGCCTAATTAGCGTTTAACTAACGAAATAATCTCTCTCTTTCTCTCTCTCTTTCTCCTCTGTCCTGTTTCTCCCCCCTTCCGACCGATCGTCCACGCCCCTCGGAGACGCGTAACGCTTTCACAGGTCATGAAACCCGGCCGGCCGCCGATGCGGGAGTTCACTTCGCGTGTTACTTTATACGAATCGCTTCATCTCGGGAGAGCTCGTTTATTAAGCGCGTTTTCGTGCATTATTCTCGTACGAGAGAAATCGCTGGGGTACGCGACGATTGAAACGCTCGCTCTTCGAGAAGGAGCTTTTCCTGAAACATGTCAAGAATGCTTCCTCTGTACACACTGAGAAAGAAGAGACGGTTGGGTCGAGACCGACGGTCACTCTTGTTCGAAGAAACATCGTGTCCACCGGACGAATTGGCTGTACGTGTCGGCGCATTGCGCTGATACAATTGCTGGTTAAATCGCGACATATCGATAATTCATTGCAGCTCCGATCGTTCCTTTCCCTGAATAAGTGAAGAACGATTGCGAAGCAGATCCGCGAAGGACGCGGCGCTAAGCCGAAAGCCGGATCGAGCATTCCTCCATACCGTGGAAGCCTAAAATATCAGATTGTAATCTGCTCGATCGATTAAACGTCTGCTCGAACGGATTTTGTTCGTACAAGCGAGGTCTTGTAGATTCCACTGCTCTCCTTCCTATCAGTGCGTATCGAGAAGATTTCCTCCGCATGTTCGAGAGAGATATCGTATCGGTGATTCATCGACCGTTTCCGACTGTGTTACATTTATATTCTCATTACCGTAAAACGCGGATATTCACGACGGATTAATGAAGCCATCGTCCTAACGTAATTAAGCGGCTCGCGACTCTCCATTTTTAAATCGCGGCTTTCCCACCGGAGCACCGCGACTAATGAACTCAACGTCGCTCGCTCACGTGGTTTCTCTCAGTTAATTATTAAAGACGGACGTTCAACCCGAAGATATTCGACCGAAAGATATTCACCTGTGTCCCGTGCGTTAGGCTCTCTTGTGAGGCCGGTAGGTAGGTGGGGCCAACATTATTAGTCGGAATGGGACGGATGGAGGGATGGATGGGATGGTATGAGACGGGGGATTGCTTGGAATTGGACGTGGTGGAGAGACTAAGAAGCCACGGTCTTGGATGATGGGCCCGGGATGCTTCTTCTTCGGCTTTGCCGCACCGTGCCCGGCGCTTCGCCGGCACTCGCGACGGGGAATTCGGGATGTGGGGGTCTCTTTAAGGGCCTTCTGTGTGCGGGGAAATACGATCGCCGGCGCTCGACCGAGCGGCGCGGAAACGGACGCGCAATCAAACTATTTCTCGTCGCCGCGCGATCTTCGACGCGCGCCGCACCGTGAAAAGAAGAGATTCTCCGAAAAAAGCTCCGCCGGTCCTGGGAAAATGTCGAATATTCCGGTGGTCGTCTTGACGGAGGATACGAACGAATACCTGCGAAGTAGGAGCCGACCGGTATTAGGAAAAATTAATTATTACTCGGAAGTATGTAGGATGTAACGTGTATATTTGAATTGTTCACCGTACAGTAAGGTTACAATCGAAAGCGCTCTCGGACGCATAATCTCCTATTTATTCCCTCGCTGAGCTGTTTATTTTTCCACTTACACTAGCGGCCGCTTCTCTAAACGCCGATGACATTTTTTCGCTACTCGATATCACGGCAGTGCATGAACGGGTGACGTGTATCCGTATCGTGAAGGCTTATCCCGATATTTCTCACGTTTTCTACTACGTTAGGTAAACATTTTGAATAGGAAGATCTTGAAAGGCGACAAGTAACCGTAGATCTTACGGTATCGATCAGAAATCTATCTGACGATTATTACACGGTGATACCGCCGACATTCTTGTGAGTTTAGTAAAATGACTCAGAAGAAAAACCAAATTCCAGCCGAGAGCTATACCGTCTGCATCTTAACGAGTCATCATAAATAATTTTCGACAAGCCTCTTAATGGTCGACTTTAGCTTTCTCCTCCTTTCTCCTTAGCGTTTTCCTTCCCTCGAAATTTTGGTCTTACGTTAACCTCGCAAATTCTCTCGAACTTGAAGGACTAACGGAGAAACAACGTCATATTTTGGACAAATCCTACTTCGATAGTTACAAATAAATTTGAACATGATAGAATGTGCTTGGCGCGTGTTAACGAAGAATCAGAACTACTCATGAAGCTATAATTATTTGTCAAATAATGACGAATTATATGTTGAGGGTCGGTAAAATATTCGTTAAAATTGCAAACTTCCATGATGAGTAACTTTATATATTTGAAAATACATGATGCATCATTGCCCACATCCCGCGTTCTCCGTCCTGATTTGGTGAACTGACACGATGCAGTTCAGAGATCGAAAACGTCATAATAAAGGCGGCAAGAGTTCAATTGAACACGTGAAAAATCGACGGCAATAACCAACACATCGACACACGTACTCCGCACCGCGGCACGTACGTCGCTCGGCAAGTACGCATACGAGAGCATCGATTCCGAGAATTTTTCCGGATGTTCCCATTATATATCAGCCGACACGTATCCCGCGGAGTACGTGTGTCGTTAGTTATCATTCCTGCGGGGCGATTAAAATATTCGTCGGCTTTTGAAACGTGTAACTACCGTAAACACGAGCCAGCGTCGGTATCGCGTTCATTAATACGTGTTCCTTCGATCGAGTCGTATCTACGCGAGTGTCAGCGAGCGTTCCATGCGACGAAGAGCAGAATGCTAATTGAGAAGCTAGGACGCCGAGGCGCGATCAGTGATTTATCATGAATTTCCAGGTGTGTGAAATCATTCATTATACAGGAAGTTTCCGATTTTAATTGGTTACTCGTTGAATTTCGTATCCAAAGAAAGAAAGGAAAATTAATCTCCTGAGAATGATCAGGAAACAGATTTTTCTATCGGACACGGGATGTTTTACGAAACTCGGGAAAAAAGTTGTTATAATCTTTAATTTGCCAACTGTGACAGACCAGTCGCCATAAAGGAAAGCACGTCTCAGGCGCGCGATAACAACACGCTCAACCGCAACTATAGGCTGCGTTTCAACATCCACCGTCAATGCTGAAAATCTAAAGTATATGTAACATGAACTATCGATTTTCAGCGCTGCAGTGAAAGTTGGAATACAGTACCATAATACCGCGACAGGATTATAATAAGCTCAGACGCGTGTACTATAGCCGGCACAAAATCGCCGCACCGGTAAGTGCGCTTCGCAAGCTCGACGTTAGGCAGGTTATCAACCCGCAATCTTACTGACTGAAACCTGCGCGGTGCCGATATCGATCCGGCTCTCGAGCTCGAAACAGGGCAATTTCAAATTACGAAATTTCCCCTTCTCACGAATTCACGTTAAAGGACAAGATTCGTGGCCCCCTGGCAAGTCTTTTCCTCTAGCACGAATTTGTGAAAAGTAGAGAACTTTCTCATTTGAACGGTAATTGGAAAGCGATAAAGAAATTTGGAAATGTTTGCTTTTACGTTTCCGCCTTCGAGAAAGAATCACGTGATCGTTGCCCAAAAAAGTCCCAAGGGAGATAACCGAAGATAGTCCTATCGCAAGGAAGTTAAGCTCCTCGAAAGCTTAGAAGGCTTTTCTTTTACATTTGTAGCGCTGTGCACGTGGGTTACATCAACGCTGATTGTGATTGTCCGTGCAGCGACGTTCGCTGTCTGAAAGTCGCTGTCACAAACGGGTTGTGCGAATGGCGTTGAGGTAGAAGATGTCAGATTCAGTGTAGATTTGTGATGAATTACGGGGCAACTATCTGTTTTACTCTGTAGCTACTGTCTTCAAGATGCCTAGTTAGGACGTTCTCTATGCGTGACAGTATTCAGATTGCCGTGCTGGTGCTCTTCTGCTGGAAAACGCTCGAGATCGGCTGATGGTTCGGGCATATCGTAAAATGTCGTTCCTCCAAAATACGCCTGTTGGTATCGTCGGTTGATGAACCAAAGTTCCTGATCCTTTAATGAGAACGGAGATAGTCCTCCAGTGCTTCGGCTGATATGGTCAAGCCTGGTAACGATAATCGTCTGAAAAATTCTAACTGATGATAAACTAATATATATATATATATATTATTTCTTCGTTTATATCTGCTTTCGATTAATTGGTCATTTAGCTCCGCTTCAGGCATATTTAAAGTGATAATAGTTATTATATTAAAGAATGATGAATAAAGAGAATTAAACAATATGAATACAGAATTAAAGAATTATAAATGAAGAAAGTTTGTATACAAATATTGATACTATGCATGTATAAATCGGAATCGACTTGTCGCATTTCGAATTTATATATATTATAAGGCTCTCGTATAGTAATTTATTTCTATCGCTCGTCCGACGATCGGAATGCTCGGGTTCGAGAGAGTTGAGTATCGAAAACGCTATATCAGGTATCGCGCGCCGAGGCCACCCATTTGCGGCTGATCTTTTGCACTTAATAGAGTTTGCTGAAATTATCGCCGATGAGAGTTTCGCGCACCGGTTAACCCTTGACACGGGCGAACAGGTACACTTGGGAGGAACGCGCAGAGTGCGTGGCAACCTTGTGCCAAGGACAATCGGTTGCTACCTTTGCACCCTCTCTTTCGTAGGATCTACCTGAACAGATGTCTGCTCGAAAACAGCACGAACATGAATCGTGTAGAGTAAAATTAATTTTATTTCCTTAAGGAGAGAAAAGACAAAGTTTATGGGGAGAAAAAGTTCTGCAATCCTGGTAAATGAATATTTGTATTATACACAGGAATGCGATAAGCGCTATCAAAATGCGCATCAAACTCGTGCGATAATAATCGTAAGCAAGCACTCTCTTAATGATCCTCAATTTCCAATTAGTTCGTAGTTAATATATTGTTTGTCGAACTTAAGAGAATACAGATGAAATACATATAGAATATTGAAACAATGAATATTAAATGAATATTAAATACTTTCTAGTATCCATCATTCTCTCTCTCTCTCTCTCTCTCCTTCAAAATGCTGATAACACATGTTTTGAAGCCATTTTGAAAGCTTAGTTAGATCTTTCTCCAAATTTCAGCATGGAAAATGCAACAATAAATAATATCAAGCGTGAATAACCCGTCTATATAATTTAGTATCTCGAAATTTTCCATCAGCCCTTCAAGTTGGACGGAATTTACGAGATTAACGTAGAACCAAAATTTCGACTCAGGTCATATCCTGTCAATCGTCGCATACGACGCAGTCAAAGAATTGTACTCCCGCTTATTTTCATTTCGCTCTATAATAACCAGCTCTAGTTTCCAAATATTTAGTCACAGTGCGTCACATTTCGGCGTACCCTCGCAGCGAAACCTCATTCTTCGATGTTCGCGCGATGCAAACTCGAATAATGTTATTTGCTTAATTTTATCCGGCGCGCCGGACCCGACGAGATCACGAATAACATGCGCATAATGAAAGGTAAACGAGTCCACGCACACATACACACGCACGCCGGGCGAGAACGTTCAACCGCGCTCGTGGCGAGGCTCGCGCGGAGTTCCGTCATTTCGGTTTGCTCGGTTTGCCGGGCGAGGAGGATCGTTGGAAATGTCCGTTAAGGGAAGAGTGGCATTCCTTTCCACGGACACCGTTGTCGGTTGTGTCCGTGCGCGCAAGCTCGCCTCCGCCGTCAGCGAGAAGCTGAGAAAGATACCGAATACCGGTCGGGCCTTTCGGGAAAGCTCTCTCCCGCCTGTACAGGGCGTTACAGAATAGACACGACGCATTTTCCTTCCCTTTCGATCGCGGCACCGACCCGCTCTCTCCGGTATCGTTTCCTCTCCTCCCCCGCGATAGTTTCCTCAAATACGCGAGGATTCACCGTGCTTCTTCGTTCATTCACGAACGCCGACTGGAGCGGATAACTTATCTTCTCGCAGCTGAAATACTTTATATAATACTTATGTAACTTATCGCGGGCTCTAAAAATACCCTTGGTATCTTCGATACGCGACGATCGAATTGTGTTCGCGCCGTTGGACGAGACACGATTTTAGTGACATTTCTACTTCGCGCGACGCGGACATAAAATTCCGTGAGGCCTCGTTGGCGATCCTTCGGTTGTCGGGCGAATGAAGTATTTTGCGTCGCCCGGTGCCGAGGAGGTCGAGCGCCTCCGGAGTGGGTGCGCGTTTTCTCGAGGAGTCCGGGCGCAGAATTTACACGCGCTCCGCCATAACGCTCGCCGCATCCCACGTTCGATGAGTCTTCTCGATTGCATAAGTGACTAGGAGGTCAATGTCGCGTCTGGTCTGAAAGAGTCTCAATGTGGCGCCAGCCTCTCGGAACGTCCGTATTGTGTGAAACGCCATCGTCTACGCATACAACACGCTTATTTCTGTTGCCGAGAGACCGTATTGGCAGCGGCAGCTTCGCTCGCCCTCGCGTGAAGAAAGAACCGGAAGGAGAGTGCTTGAACTCCCATTCTCCGGGAGTTCGAGTGTTACGCGATATATTGTCTCCGTTGCGCCGTCGCCTGCGAGGAAACCTCCTCGACGTGTTTTCCCGGCGAACCTGCCTGCTCGCCCGCTTTGTCCGAATGCTTTCATCCTTGCCGAGTTCTCTCGTGATTTTTCCTCGGAGATGCGGTTTAGGAGATTCGGCCTTGGTTGCGAGAGACCGAGAATTTTGCAGGTCACCTTTCGGTAGAATCTTTTCCAATTTTTTGCAATTTTCACGGTAGCTTCGCCACAGTCATGATACGAGCATTCATCATTTTGACACTTTGTTGGTTATCACAAAGATGATCTTCAGGTCTCTACAGGACTTCACAGTTGTCGGGTTAATATCGTACGTTAAATACACACGCGTTCGTTAGATTATTCGATGCACAATAATTCGTATTTCAATATTCCTAGTATTGGTTAATCACCGTCGTAATTATTATAATCACCAATAATTACCCGTAATTACGACCGGCGCAATTATCATTATGATAATCGCGTTTATTTTCGTCGCAATCATAATTGCACGCCGACGTCGCATCATCACGTGCTCGTCGGCACGAAATTGACGCGACATCGCGTCACTTAAACATACCCCACGAGGGTCCGCGGAGCGACGGAAAATCGAGGTATCGATTATCCAATCAGCGAGATTGCCACGGTGACTGATTCACGAGGCGTCAAAATTGATCTTCGTAATTTCCGAGCGTCCTGTCTTCTTTTCGGACCGGGCGATGAGGAGGAAGCGTCCAAGAAGGAGTCCGGACTGTGGGACTCGAGGGTGCACTTCAGGTTGCGCAAAAAAACGATTTAACGGCCGGGTAATGGCGAGAGCGCCGATATGACCGACTACCGTCGCAGTCATCGGCGCGGCGGCGAAAAGGCATACTTTTACAGGGTCTACTTTGTGCCCTCCGCGGGCGCGCGCGCGCGCGCGCCCGCGCGCAAGTGAATTACACGAGGAAGTTAAGGTGCCGTAATAAATACCTTGGGTGCTCTTCGCCTTTCGGGTCTCGTTGCTGCCGCGCGCGGCTCGCCGGGCGCAAAAATAATAATCGGCCGGTCGGTGGCGCGCCCCGATAGCCTTCCTCGCCCCCTTCGTTTTTGCGCCCGGGCTCGTTATAATGCAGAGTTTCACTTCTGGCGAGGCCGCAGGGATTCCTCGACGGCGGGAATTCCGCTCCGATTATCCGCCGAAATTCGACGATGTCTCGCTGCCTCATAGATCTGAAACGATCGTTGGATAATCGCGGGAACCTCGTCGTCATCGCCGTGGGACCACCGGGCATCATCGGACGCGCTCTTTGCGCGGTCGGCCGATGCTCTGTATTTGGCCACGATCGATACGGCCGGGTCCTTGGGTCTCCGTTCGAGGGTGGGAACTAACTGGCTTTGCGCGATTGCACGGGTAATTACGCGCTTTCTTCGGCGAATGCCTCTCGGTGAACGCGCGCATCGAAAAGCCGAGTCGCTCCGCGAACTGTGCGCGCCGAATACGTGCCGCGGATACGCGCGCGCGATAATACCCGATATTATTTAAAAGCACGTCCTCGTTCACCCTCCCCCCCCCCTCTCCTTCTCGCCTCCTCTCCCTCTCATTTCTGCCCTCCGGTTCCCCGCCACGTTCCCTCCGATCTGCCCGTTTAATCGTACGAAAATCACTTGTGCGCGCCCGCTTCCGTTCTTAAGCGCAACACAATTCCCGTCGGAGGGCCGGCAGCTTTGTTACAGTCTTAGCGCGCAGAACACGGTGTACCTGATTATGACAGCGCCAAAATGCAGCCGGTCGGTTCGCATTGTGAACGATAACAAGAGCCCACATAGCTGCGGACGGACGGCGAGCGGCCGAAAGCGCTCTTCTAGAATCGAAGAGGAGGTGTACCTGCGAAGAGCCGTTGATCGAGGTGTCAGGTCGTAGTACCTGTCTCGGCGGGATCCTTCGGGAGTACCGCTTTTTCGCCCGCCGTTGTTTCTCCGCCCGAAGAGAGGAGAGGAGCGAAAAGGGGGAAGGCGGGGGCGAGGGAGAGAGAGAGAGAGAGAGAGGGGGGGAAAAAAAATATAGAAAACCTCAAGCACGGTTTGGAGCGCGTTCTCATCTCTCAGCCGCCGACGATAAAACGCACAATGGCTTCACACGGGCCCTCCGCCCGGCGCTTCGGCGCGCAGGTCCGTCCGGCAGCGCGGAGTCTGGAATTTACTGCTGAATTTACTGTGGAACGCGCCCTCCGTTATTGTCGATTTCACCGGTTGTTCCGTCGCCTTCTTAGTCGGAGGGGTGACGGGAGAGGGTGTTATTGGAGGAAACTACCCGCTGAGACGATTTTTAGCCTGGCCGGTTCGGGACGGCTCGGTAAAAGAGCGCCCGATGTCGCCGCGCGCCATTTCGATCACTAAAGATCCATCGGCCTCGTTGATTACGCTGTTTGTGTTGTTCGCGTTAAGTTATGTCAGGTTATTCCGTGAGGAGGTTTATATTTGACCGTCGGCGCGTCAATATTTTCCCCCGGTCGCAGAATGGAAATGCAAACAAAGGAGAATGCGGGGAGGTCCTCGGGCC